TTTTCCGTGACAATAAGTTGAACTTTTCAAACTTTTCAGGACGGCGCGACAAAGTCCCGTGCGCCTCGAAATAGGCACTCAATGTAGCGTGGATACCAAACTACAGGCTTCTGTAGCTTAATCCACTCAAGGATGCTAGCAGCAACTTGTAGCGCACCTCAACGTACAATGTTAGGAGGGTAACTGAGCTCAGATGCCAGATACACCAAGATATGTAGTCTTGCCGCTCTAATTTTCATAGGTCTATTTAGTTAAGGAACTCCACCCCCCACCCCTTATTAAAGCCCGGCCATCAGCGTCAATATTGCCGTACATGGATCGCAGTAGTATCGTTGGAAAGCTCAGAATGTCAGCTTTAAGATGAGACTAAGCATGTAACTGCAGCACAACTCAAGTAGAAACTATATTCAAAGATTTCAGCAGCTAATTACTTTATATCTAATTACTTAAAGAACTCTCTCACCCGCTTCCCTTTAAAGAGACGTCATGAACGTCAATATTGGCGTACAGCAATGGCAGCGGTACCATTGGAAAGAGCAGAATTCCAGCTTTCAGATGAGCACAAAAACCGAAAAACGCCATATATGAAAATTTTAGGGTAGCCGGTCCCCTTAATTAACAACTATTAGGCTTTTAATTAAGCAAATTTTAATTTTTGTACACAGCTTGGAATGATTTGTGTGTGTCCAATTCAAGTTGTGACGGAATTAGTTTTCATGTGTCTAAATCCATTTCTCAACTTAATCATCTATTAATTTATTTACCACTTAAAATCAGCGAATACAAGTACCGTAAAATGGGGTTACTTTGACCGGCGGGGTAACTTTGACCACTTTTTGTTTTTTAACAAAAACCCCCAAAACTCAAAAATGATTTGACATAGAAAAATTTTGTCAATGGCCATCAAAGGCCTAATACTGAGGCTATGTAACACAATAAAAAGATTTAAAAAGTTTGCATATCTAATAGGTAAAAAAATTAATAATGTGACCCATGAAAAAGAGCTATTATTTACAGCCTGTCAGAGTACCCCCTCCAATTTTTTTTATTTTTTGGTAAAATAACTCAAGGTTTTGATGCATTGTAGTAGAACTCTTCTAGTTACATATGCAAAAGACAAATTTTAGGAAAGTGTCATAGTTTGCAAATGGGGGGCGCTGCACCCAATGGGGGAACTTTGACCACCTAATGGCAGCCGTGATGGGGTAACATTGACCGGCTTGGAAATTAAGTTAAAATTACCATAGGTACCTATATAACATATTTTATGTTTGATACACCTATTAATGTTTTTTTCTTTATGTTTCAGACTCTACAGAGTCTTATATATGGTAATTTTAACTTAATTTCCAAACCAGTCAATGTTACCCCCATCATGGCTGCCATTAGGTGGTCACATTTCGCCCATTGTGGGGCAGCGCCCCCCATTTGCAAACTATGACACTTTCCTAAAATTTGCCTTTTGCATATGTAACTTGAAGAGTTCTACTACAATGCACCATAACCTAAAGTTATTTGGAGTTATTTTACCAAAAAATAAAATTGATTTTACCACCCGGTCAAAGAAACCCCAAGAGCTGGGGTAACAAAGACCATCACTTTTTTTGAAATTACATCAAAACTATGAGAGGCAGGAGCCAGCAATTTATGGTGAGTAAAGCTAGAGTATAGACCTGTATTTTGCATGTTTCAATTTAAGTTTAACTTAACTAGTAAAAAATGGCATCATTTTGAAAAAAAGTGGTCAAAGTTACCCCAGTTTACGGTAGGTATACTTAAAGGATTCCTAATATATTCACAGACGTATTTAAAAGTCTCAAACCATAATATTCTCCCTATACAAACAGTTATTCACTATTTTGTAGAGCGAGGTCAACTGTCAAATTTGACGCATTTTTCGATGATCTCACTGGGTAGCGTGCATTGTCTCTCTTTGGATCTCAATATTTTCCCGCTAGATGGCCAAGACCTAGTGTTTTGGCAGTAGTTTGACGCGCAAATGTATGACGTCGCCATTTCAACCATCAACGAATGCATGGAACTAAAACAAAGCTTAATATAAAGGAAAAACTAGAGAGGTGACGGAATTACCCACAATGTCGGAATATACCGCGTTTACCCTATATCACGTAAAGTTTTCACTCAATTATCGTCTCGAAGTTGGGAGCTTTATCTGCAGTAATGTTCTGTAGTTACCTCACCCACCCGGTCCCACCGATTGTGTAATGAGAACTAACCACTAACCTTCATTAGATTCCCGCCACTGTTGCACTCGATTGATTCTGCATGCATGTATAATATTTACAAAGGTTATTAAACCATTCTGATTTCTGTTGAATGTCAGTTACTGATAAATTTTTAATATAGAAGAATTTGTATCTTTCATTTTTTCACATGACTATATTGATGTCGGTTTCACATTGGTTGCCGGTGCGGTTGGTATCCCTGCTAAGGTACCTTCTTTGTTTACTTTTTCGTTCCGCTGATCGCAATGAAAGAAGATGGTATGTCTCAGCTGATTGCATCGGTGGTCAGTTTTGTATTTGTGGATTGAATCATAGGCAGTTTTTCATGTATTTGTGAGTGAGTATACATAGTGAAGATGTTATTCTTTGTGATTTCCATCAAAAATGACATACCTACACTATTGTATTACGCTCTTGAAATAAGAATTGTAGCATTATGCATTAAGTTAGCATCAGTGCGTTAACATTGTGTGCATTTGAGGCGGTCCCTTCTAGCTTTCTATCGCTGATTGGATTCCAGTGGCTGTGACGTTGCACACCTTCTAGCGATGATTGGATCCCTGTGACAGTACATTGGGTGCGTTCAAGCGTTGATTGGATTCTTGTGACTGTTAGGTTGGACGCGTTCAAGAGTTGATTGGACTCTTGTTACTGTGATGATGCAAGTGCTGTTTTTTTTTTTCAATGAAACAGCTGTGGCATCTTGCAGAGACACATCAGTGATGATGATGGACTGAAAGTGGAAGTGTGCTGGACGTTCCAGATTTTTGGGTCCTGCTTTCCGATTTGCTATGTTTACCAGTTAATATATTACCCCTCTGGAATTCCACACTGTTAAATAAGACTATTATGTATAAAGCTAGTCTAGAAATCAAACATTTAGTTTATATCTCTAAAAAATTGCTGAAAAAAAGTGTGAAAAGTGCCATTTTGGAAAAGTACCTCTGCTAAGGTCTGGAGCAAAAAAAAAAAAAAATATTCACCGTATTAAAAAATTTTACTTACATTAAAGTTGCACCCAAGTGTTGGCTTGAAAACGTAATTGATGGAATATGCCTATCTCATTCCAAAAAAAAAAAAAAAATGGCAGCCATTTCTGCACGGTGAGGCTACTCAGGACACCCCCCCCAGGGTAATTAAGGACACCCTTAAAAATGCATTTACAGTAGAACCTCAGTTAGCAAAGGTTCCAGTTAACAAAAAATTTATTTACAACAAAAAATTTTGGTTACATTTACCTCGCTCAGCGAAAAAAATTCACTTATTGAAAAATTAGTGCATCATCGGTTTTCACAAAATTGTACATAGAATGCTATATATAGAATTGTGCACCGGGCATCATAGAATGAAAAGTAATTGACCTAAACTATGATTTATTTCTCCAAAACATATGATGGTTGTCACTAAAACATTATTTTCTGTTTCAGGTATGTTTTTCATGATCTTTTTTGTTATAGTGAAATCACTTGCCTCAATTAAAATTGTGTGATATTACAAACCATCCTGTTAGCTTACAGATACAGAAGAAATGCTACATGGCTGCCGATATGAAGCTTGCAGTGGACAAGGTCGTTGTCAATGCTCAATGGCATGTCCATGGATGCAGTACGGTAATATCACAATAATAATAAGGTAATAATTGGATATGGTAATATCATATCAATAAAGGAAAAACAAGTAAAAATCGCAGAAAATGTCATTTATTTTACTTCTACATCATCTACAATGAAAGAGGAGGACTTCAGAGTAGTAGGTACTGTTAGTAATAGATGAGTACACTCTGCATGCTTCAAATGTTTGAAATTGAGTTTTATTTCAAGTGTCCCTTTTTACCCCATTGCAAGATTAATTCAGGAGCCTTTTATATTGTGTCTAGCGCCTTACAAATAGCATAGGTTTGGAATTTTTTTGAAGATGCCATTCAATAGCCCTCGCAAAGAGCTATAAAATGAGCCTAAACTTGTTTCTGTAATGTTTCATGGTAAGAAGTTATTAACAAAAAAACGCTCAAAACTGTCCCTTTTTACCCCGTTTGATGGTATGACATTCTATGCACAATTTTGTGATGACCGACGATGCACTAGGTAATTTTTTGATAAGTGAATTTTTTTTTGCTGAGCAAGGTAAATGTAATCAATATTCTTTGTTTTCAATCAATTTTTTTCTTAACTGGAGCCTTTGCTAACTGAGGTTCTACTGTAAATGCGTTTTTGGGGGTGTCCCGACTCCCGAATAGCCCTGGGGGGATGTCCCGAGTAGCCCTGCCGAGCGGAAATGGCCGCCATTTTTTTTGGATTGAGGTATGTAAATTCTGCAAATAAAGTTTTCATGCTGACACTTGTCTACCACTTTTTTCTAAGCAAAATTTTTTAATACGGCAAATATTTTTTTTTCTACAGACCTTAGCAGAAGTAACTTTTCAAAATATTGTTTTTCACCATTTTTTTCAGGAATTTTTCAAAGCTAGTGAATGTAGTATTTTTGAACTTCCTTTATACTACATAGATAGGAAAAATGTTGACGTTTACGCCACTATATTTAGTTTTGCAATATTCCAATTAGAGTACTACTAAAACAGTTTTACACCGTGTCGGAGGACTGTCCCGAGTTACCCCGCCCGTCCCAAGTAGCCCCGGTTGACGGTATGTTGTATTGTAATATTTTTTGGAAAATTTGCATGGCAGAATAATTTGAAGTTGGGCTCAGTCTGCTCAGATGTGCTTCAGCATTTCAACATAATTATAAACTTTACAGATATGGTTTTGGCTGTGCGATGCTACTGGGCATCACACCGCAGTACCTGGGTGCGTGGCTAGTGTGGCGAGGTATCACACTACCACTTCCTGCCTGGGTTTATCAATGGGGTGATGATCACTTGTACTCCATGTATCAACGCTTGGTACTCTTCTTCTTTGAGACCTGCACTGGTGTAGAGGTTTGTCATTGTCTAGGTCCTGCAAGTAACCTTATATACCTATGATAATCCTTCTTTGTTGTGATTTGTTTGAGCTGTAAATTCATCTCTCATTATGTTTTGTAATTTTTTAAATAATTAAATGGCATTGATTTATTTTATTGTTATTGATTTTGATAGAAATCCATGGAAGTGTCTTATGCTTCTTTTATCCTCCTCAATTTTGCTCTTTTAAGAAGTTAATAGTATAAATTGAAAGCAAGTTTGTTTGCAACATCTCTTTCATATAAGCTTGGTCTGAATCATGTAAAAGTTTAGTGTTTTCCTTTTATTCGTTAGTTGTTTTGCAGGTTGTGATGTATGGAGACTCAGAGGATTTGCTGACAAAAAAAGAGACTGTGCTTTACTTTGCCAACCACCAGAGCACAGGTAAGATTTCAGTTACCTTATTAGGATTCTTAAAACTCGGGATTTCACAGCATTATGCAGCATAAATCTTGAGTTAACATTGAATTTACTTTTTGCTTGGGAGGTGGGATACGCAATATACCTATCACATTGTAGCCTCTAGTTATGAACATTGTTATGTTATGAACATTACCGGTACACATCATATCAGTTCTGCAATATCACTAAATGCTATTGGTGATGTTATTAACAAAAGTTATAGTAGGTACAGTTTTAATTAATAAGCTATTCTTTATTGATATTAAAAAAATGTTAAAGCAGGTAATTTTGTGAATGTACTGTATATATGTGAATGATATTCCTTCATTTTATTTACTACTTTAGAATACCTACCTATAATTATATTGAATCTATGAATTTTAAAATATTTTAAAATATCATAAATTATAACAAGTCAATTGAATGAAGTTCTAATTGAATGAACACAATTATAATTCTTCCTATAAGATTCAAAGTTCAAATACATTGAAGATGGTTATAGATAAATATCATAGAAGAAGCAACAACCTAATGAAGAGATAATAAATTTTGTACTTACTGTGCTTGAGGCATTAATATGGGGAAGCACAGCTCCAGGCCTGGCCTTAGCAACTGCAAGTCAGCCAGCTCATAGCCAAACACTTGTATGTGCCATCAGATACGGTACCTCCCAGAACACCACAAGGATAAAATATATTCAATTATAAAGACACAGATTTCTTAATGCATCTAATTACACTGCCATCTTTTATGGCCTAATAGATTAAAGGGTATGCATCTTAAAACAGAAATAGAGTGTTGATACTTGTTAATTTAAGTGTTCATTTATTACTACCATAGTATTATTTCATCTTCCTTTGCCAATAATAAATAATTACACTCTTATTCTCAGTTATTTTGTTTGACAACCTCGCAATCATTGTAATTCACACCTAATGATTGCATGTGAGTGGTGGTGTAATGATTCACACCTTTAATACCCTACACCACCACTCTCATCCCTCACCCCTCATTTAGAATCACGTTCATCATAACTAGTCTTTCTCTCCAATACTTCACATTTCACCATCAGCTGCTTCACTGTTTCCATCACTCCCCATTGCACACGAAACCCTCATCCCCTCACTCCACCCTGTGCCCATAACCTCAGCACCCAGCGTCCCTTCCCTCACACAGCCCCCACCTTTGCTACCATCATAAATTCATACTCGGGCATTGCCATCACTACTACGAGTAGATAGCATTGGCTGCAAGCAGACATGGAAGCAAGTTTATTAATAATGCCACTCAATATTATCACAATTTTTATTCTAATACGGAACTGCTGCCAAGTAAAGTGGAACTGCAATGGAAGTAAATTTCAATAACCCCTGCTAAATAATCTCGTTTCGGTTTTAATTGTTTTTATTATGCTCCCTAAAATCTGCTAAGGTACCACTCATTTTAAATTATCAATTAAACAAACAGAAATAACAATAAAATTCACAAAAAGTGTTTTTGTTTATAAAATGTATATTTTTTCCTTTAAAATCTCAATTCATAAAAGTTATTTTGTGTTATATTATGTGACTTTATTTATTTATTTTCATGCTTAATGACGGTAGTTGACTGGGTGGTGGCTGACATGGTGTCAGTGCGGGCTAACAGCATCGGTCACTTGCGCTACGTTATGAAGAACACACTACAGCTGCTGCCGCTGTATGGCTGGTATTTCTACACCCACGGCTGCATTTACGTCAAGCGAGGCTGCTTCAACCAGGGCAAGATGATGCAGGCTCTAGACTACCTCAAGCATCCTAAAATTCCAGTATGTTGAAAAGATTTTGACTTTGTGTACTGTGCCTGCTTCATTAAATTGAATTGAAGCTACGCAAATATACGAATTTACCCATGTTACTTTTAGAGTGCGAAATATTTCCCTTCCTTCTTGTAACGGACAGTAAAGTTACTCAAATTTCATCATATTACCGTTCAAGTCAAATATAATTTTAGTCTTGTATTATTTATATATAATATAATATATTTCCAAGATGGCACATCATATTACAGTTCAAGTGAAATATAATTTTAGTCTTGTATTATTTATGTTTTCCTTGTATTGACTGATATTCATGGGGCTGGTTATATCGTAAAAATATTATAAACTTCTGTGTCCGTATCTGGCGGTTGAGTGCAGCAACTTGACTCGTCACAGCCATGCGCAGTATTGGCACGCACATGTTCAAAATATTGTCTGCTTGAGACTCGCATTTGGAATTGATGATGTGTTATTATCGCATTGGTTGGTCAATAAAATTATTGGGGCAATAAAATTGTTCATTATTTTAAGTGTTATGCTGTCTTCTTAAGTGAACAATTTTCGTTTGAAGACTGTCTTAAATAGATAGAGAACAGTAGTATAATGACTCATTATATCAATAATGATAATCGATATAGAGAACAGTAGTATAATGACTCATAATATCAGTAATGATAATTGATATAAATAGAGAACAGTAGTATAATGACTCACTCCCTGCTACCATTCTGCCAAATTAATTTCGTTGCCATTTTATTTTCAGTCGTGGCTCATAATTTTCCCAGAAGGCACTCGCTTCCATCCCTCCACACCCTCCGCCATAGAGAAGAGCAAAGAGTTTGCCTGCAAGAACAACTTGACTCCTCTGCAGCATCTGCTCACGCCCAAACACAAAGGTGAGCCGAAGAGGCCACATAGTGACGGTCACATCACTTCCCACATCCTCTACGCGAACACATTCTATACTGTATAATGACGTTGCAAATTAAGGAAAATGGAACCAGAGTGTATAGATGAAAATGATGACATTTCACTCGATAAATATAATGACTCTTCAAATTGTGCGCCAAGTTAGATGCTATGAAGATGGGCGACGGTATTCGGTTTGTTTGAGTGTATTTTTTATTTGATCAAATACTTTACTGAGACGCCACAAAACTCCTGTGTTATGTGGACAAAGTAATTTAACTCTCATAACTATTACATAAAGGTTATTACGTATTAATCAAGGACTACTACACACAGGACATGCATAGCCTATGTCCAGCCTCTGCTAGCAGAGGCGATCGCCTACACTATGAAAATGCTGGTGTTTTAGTGGCATCAACAAATNTTTGAACTTCAAAACTGGCAAAAAGTCTATGGTTCTGACCAAGGACTACTACACACATTGTAATACTATTGTATGAAACAATTATGGGCATATCATTTGTTGATGCCACTAAAACAACAGCATTTTCATAGTGTAGGCGATCGCCTCTGCTAGCAGAGGCTGGACATAGGCTATGCATGTCCTGTGTGTAGTAGTCCTTGGTATTAATAAAACATATCTTTATTTTACGCTTTCAAAACATGAAGGATGAAACATGAATAAATCATTTAAGCTTTTCACTAATTTTATGTGAAAAAATCTTTTGAATTAAAGAACCACCGAGAAAACTTTGGTACCCATCATTATAGGATCGTCCCCTCACTCCCCATTGGGCACGAAACCCTCATCACCTTACTCCTCCCTGTGCCCCTAACCTCAGCACCCTAACCTCGCTACCTTTGTGAACCTGTTTATTGTGAACTTTGCAGGAATGTGGCTGGCGGTAGAGCACCTACACTCGAAGCTCGATGCTCTGTACGACGTGTCGGTGTTCTATGAGGGTAGCGTGGACACCCGCACCGGCGAGCGCCGAGACGCTCCTCAGCTTGTAGACTTCCTACTGGGCCGCTGCTCCAGAGTGCACATCAAAGTACGCAGGATACCCATCAGCCAAGTGCCCAAAACCGAGGAAAAGTTCAAAACGTGGCTACACGAAACTTTTGTTGAGAAAGACGCTTTGTTGCGGCCTTTCTTCACGGGAGTTATTGACTCATCGTGCGAATTAGCATCGAGAAATGAATCTCAGGTTGACAGAACCAACAGCTTTTCCTCTACCCAGGAGCTTGACGCTCAAAATGTTCTCCGTACTTCTAAAAGTGGCAGTCTGTACCCCGATTTAGATTCTGACAATGTTGTTAATGGAGACGTGTCATTTAAATACAATTACAATCGGCTGAGTCGGCAGTGCGGTGGCGTGACCAGTCCCTTAAGCTTATGGGCTACAGTGCCTTCCTTCCTGGTGTTTGGTGCTTCTTGTGTAGTTATGGCCTGGTCCCCCTGGACCAGACGGCTCTTCTGGTCCCTCTTAGGCTACGGCACTCTAGGCACTTATGCCTGGCTTGCTGTCAGGAATGTTTGCTGATGAAGCATGTGCTGTGGCCCGGTCGATGAGTTGCACTTTTTCTCGCTAGTGACGAAACAATTGATATCGCAAAAAACTGCCGACAAAATTAAATATTTATTGATTTGCAGTAATCTAATTTAGTTCCTGTTGTTTTTAAAAGCTGTGCATCAGGTGGGCCGCAATACGTTTTCATGCTCCCCGTTTTTCGATGATAATGGCCACTTGACCATTATTCAGCCTCGTACATCAGCCCTAGGTGCCATCAAGTATTCAACTAGTCAACGAACAGTTAACTTTGTTCGCTTTTAAAACCCGTGCAATTTCTGCCTACGCAAATTTTTTTGGACTCTAATCATTTTTCTAGTAATTTTTTCATATTTAAAAAATTCTGACTAAAAAATGCCAGGTATCCCGCTCTTCTGCTGGTTTGTCGTTCATGAACAGAATTATGCAGGGGGCTTTTTTTGGCGATGCTGCATTGCGCGAGATATTTCTTTACGATGACATGGCTGAAAGCTATAATGATATTGAATATTTTGCTATACCGATGTCGTTTTCAAGGAAACAGGACAGCTCACGAATGAAATTTGGCATGTCTATTTCGGTAGTGATGAATCTAACAATCGTTGCATTATTTTATGTTCATTTCGTGAAGTAATTCACGTTTTGAATTGCACAGAAGCCAACATTCCTGGCCTGAGCTAACTTCTTGATAGGAAGAGAGTGCTCATGCGCGTCATCTGTGGTCGACCGCTGGGCTGCTTTAATTCCGTTCTTTATTTTCTTGTAACATGTTTCAGGGCATATCTTGTTTGTTTCGGGGCATATATTGCTTGTTTTAGAGCACATCTTGTGTTGGACAGAGAAATGATTGAAAAAAGTCTGACAAAATGTTTGCATCAGCTGAACTTTTCTTGTTCGCAAGTGTTGTTATCTGTCCAATTTCAAAAAGATGTGTCCTAGCCAAAAATACTTAGTCAAACCGAAAAATGAAATTTGTATTTCATCATTTGATGTAATTTTCTTCATCAATAGTCGCGCCAGTGCTTGATTTGTGTAAGTTTCATTATTTACTAATTGATTGTCCTTAGTTGCTTGTGTTGGAAGCTCTTCATGAGCTATGCCTTCCTAGCGAATATCCCCTGTCAGAATTTACGAATGGATCGAATTCAATGTTCAAATTGAATCCAGATGGTCGCCATACAGATTGTTTGTTTAGACGATTCTCATCCGCTAGACAACATGATGAACTGTTAGCCAGTTTTCCTGCTGTTAGATATTATACCTTTCGGATTATGCTGACCATTATCAGACAGAACGATCGTACATGTTTTCTGGTTGATTAACTTATGGGTGACTTTTAATGCTTACTTTAGCTCATGAAATTTTACTCCTGAAATACGGGTTTCCCGTGCCGGAAAGGCATCGCAAGTTTAGTCGTCACAAACAATTCGTGTCTGATTGCGGATTCTGTTGTGTGTGTGTTGGTGTTAAGTAGATGATGGGAGACGACCTACTTCTTGTGGTCCCTGTCGTGAGGAGGTAGACGTAGTACCGTGCTAGCGTGCACCTGCACGAGTGCCTTCAGTACAGTTGCACTTCACCTGCCACTTCTCCGTCTTATCTTATCGCAAATGCTTACTCCGTTATTGTATTTTCAGCTTCAGAGTGATGGTCATTTGGTAGCTATTGTTGCCGGGAATAATTTTAACGTAATAAAACTTTGAGCGATCGAGACCTTTTATCTTTTCGCCAGGGAAACTTTACAACTATCGGTCCGCAATAGCTGTGATAGCTATTACTTGCTGCGTATTTTTCAGCCGTTGTACCACTGCTACCGCTCTTCATTGGCTGTTTGAGCTTCTGTTTCTTTGGTCTGTGATAAATAAAAAGCTACAGGAGCGATTGTTATGCTTCGTTGCTTGCCTACACGACCGAAACTGCATAATTCGAAGAAGCCTGCAAGCATGATTAAGAAGTCAAGCCAAAGATTTGATATTTTTAATCGTTAGTTCTTCAATAAACGGGGCTTCATTATCCTAGGTGGTAAGTGCAATCGATTTTTGTGAGGATTTATTCACTTTGTGCGTTTTTGATTAGCATACGTTTGGCTAGGAAAAACTGATGAAAGTGTGTTGTGGCTGTACTATATTATGAACAAGTATATCGTACAAGATGCTTGTAGACCAAATACTCGTTACTTAACTCGAGTTGCTTGTGTTTCCATTAATGTGGAGACAGCGGTTCATTCTCGTCTCTACAAAAATTGGTCGCTTTGTATGTTTCATATGTGAATTATATATTTCGATGTATTAGGTCGTAATAATTAAATCGCGTTTGTCTACTTATAAATAAACTGTTTATTGCCTTCCCGTGTGAGAATTTTTATCGCGATTCATTGGTATCAAAAGCGATATTTGTACGCGACTTTATTAACGTTACCGTTTCATTCTCGAAATGTGAAAGTTTCTGTAAATGTTCACTGCGCGTGTACGTATCATAAGGAAACCCAATGCAATGACGGTCACAAGGTCGTGTAATAGCCTTGAATCTTCCACTGTGATGGTGTAGCAAATCGTACTTTTTCGTGTTAACTAGTTTGTTGGGACTTTTAATTTAAAAATATATACGTCGGCAAATATTATAAATATTTAGGGACCAGCTCCGATGTTCTGTTTGAATGAAGTCGTCTTGTGCCACATTGTGGACCTATCGAATACGCGACCATTGGATTTGAAAGCTATAAGTATAAGTGGCTTGGAGACTTTGTAATGTTACCTATTGTAACTATTTCCACTAAGCTGTGACGCTTCAACTCACAGGAATTGTCTGACGCTATTTTTTCTCGCCAAATAATATAGTGTAACCTAAATGTCAGTATTCAATTGGGGCTTTCGCTGATCACCGGATAGGATTCTTTCTTCTATTTGAGGCCCTGAAATTAGCTGTCAAATACCAACGAACTATTACATGTATTGGAATATTCTAATGGTGTCTGCCATTTTACTCCGTGCTGAAGCTGATTTCTAGTTTATATCACCCACTTATTGAAAATATTCTATTGCAAACTCACGTTTTTCTATTTATTGGATCAATAAATGATTGATTGACACTCATAAGTTTTGCGCAATGGCTATAAACTTTATACTCATTATTATTGTACATTTTGCTCAGTGTAGCATTGAGTTATAGGTACCATTTTGATTATTGACTTTAGACGAGACATGTATTTTTGGTGATATCTTGATGATTGAAGGCGCTGCCACTCCATACGCGTCCTCCATCTGTTGCGGCAGCTTTTCTGGTAGGATTCCAGTAGGAGTTTTTATCGCAGCCTACTTATTTGTTTAACTAGTGTAACTCTAGCGCCAGTTGAAATCGTTCCTTGTAAAGTATTAAGCTGCTTTTTTCGTGCATCCCTTGTTCGCTTGTATGCCTTAAGCTGCTCCCACGGAGGAGGCTTTACTACCACGGGGGTGGCTTTATTCCCACGGAGGTGGCTTTACTCCCACGGAGGTGCGCTTCGCCGGAAGCATTTCCGTATTTTGCTGTTAATCTTGTTTCTTTTATACCATAACATCTCAAGTTGAGGCGTCTCCTATCCCTTATTGGACCAAAGTTTGCTACCAGAATGCAAGTTTAGTACGAGTCGAGAGCGAGGTTTTCTTCCTAACGTTGACACTTCAATTCCACTTCCACAATTATTGATTGTGGATTAGACGCCATCCATCTTTATTGACGGCTAAGCCAATTTAAAAAAAGTGAACTAATTTCTCATGGTTTCAAGTCTCAAATTTACTATTAATTCTCTCGTATTCTTTGTGTTATGTATTTCTTATTTAAGTAAACTTGAAGTTTTTAGTTAGTAATAGCCCATGGAGATTTAACTCTGTCTATATTCGTTGTTTGATTTATAGTCCAACGCAGTGATTCAGATTCATGTCGGTGTATCGTGTGTTAGGTGTTTGTTAACCTAGATAGAATTATGTCGATTAAGTTCTGTTCTTACATTCAGAGTGACTGATTTCGTTCTTAGTGGAGTGATGTATTTTTCGTTAGGTCAGAGCACGGCGTTTCATGTTGGCACTTCACCAGCAGGCGTGTGGATGTATAGGCTGAATAAATCTGCGTGAATTGTGTGTGTAGCGACCAGTAGAGCGTTCCTCACTTTCTCCTGTAAACAGTTGCGTATTTCCTTTGCTGTTAATGAAGATGACTTTCGGTTGACATGAGATTCCACAACATAATTTTTGTTTTGTTCATAAATGCTTAATTAAGCTGTTGAAGTCAGTTTCGTGATTGATCTGTGCCATTTTGATATTCAATGCAACTTTTACCTGCATTGTTGGTGGTACCGATAATTTGAAGATAATGCTAAGTTGTTTTGTGGGACACATTGTGTGTTATACGTAGAGTCGGACTTGTTCTTTGTACGAGAATTAAATACTTAACGCTGATCAACAGATTATATATTAGACCTGAAGTATTCTTTACCTTTGCACGTTTTATGATATGTGTGCCTGGGCAAACCTTCGCGTCTGGCTTATCGGTCATGGGGAAAATTTTCCCGTTAGTGGATATTGGTGCCGGAAGATATGAGTTGACTCGTTAAAATTTACGTCAAAATTTTCCTGTAAAAGAATCTTTCGATCGAAAATATTTTTCCGCTCAAACTTACAGGCCCTAAAGTAAAATTAAACGGAAACCTGTAGAATCCGGAATAATAGTTTTATGGTGCAATTCGCATCTTAAAGTGATGGAAATCTCGATTCCGAAGCAATTTATGTAACAAAAAAAAAAAACGGTATTTTAATACCTAGTTTGGATTTTGATAACCAGTCATCAGTGCTAGGGATCTCTTGCTAGATTTACTCTCGCTTAATCTGTTTAACCAGAATTCTTATTAATTTTCTTTTGCTGCACACGAGATAAAGATCTCATATTATTTGATGCGGATGTTGTTAAGCGTTAGAAGACATTATAAGGGTATTGGTGAAAGTTTTGGTGCTAATTTACCGATATTTATGATACTTGGCACTCACACCTGAAAAAATAATGCAAACACATTATTTTTTTTTTTATTTTTGTTGAGAGAATCGAAGTAAACGGAGAAATTTTAATGGGGACAATGCATGAATCAATTGACAGAATAAAGTTTTGATATTTAAATTTTTCATATATGAAAAAAAGTACAAATTAGTTTTAAAGAATGCGTCAAATAAAGCGCAATTGCAAGATGATCTTGACAGTTTAGTTAACTGGGCTGATACGTGGCAGCTGCGGTTTAATGCTGACAAGAGTAAAGTACTTCACCTCGGGAAGAACAATGAACAGCAAGATTACAGTATGAGAAGACATGGTTGCAACGAGAGAGTAATGATTGAAAAGTCTAGTGTGGAAAAAGATCTCGGAGTTTATGTCGATAAGGAGCTGAAATTTTCTAAGCATATTCAAACGAAAGCTAATACATCCAACAAACTTCTTGGTTTAATCAGACGCTCTTACGAATTCCTAGATGCAGAAGCGATGAAGCAGTTGTTTGTTGCTGTCGTGCGCCCGAATCTAGAGTTTGGGAACGTTGTGTGGTCACCGAGATTTGGAAATGACAAAAATTTAATAGAGAATGTTCAAAGACGTGCAACAAGGATAATTCCAGGCTTGAAGGACAAGTCCTATAAAGAAAGATTAAAGATTATGGAGCTTCCAAGACTCAGTTATGGACGTTTGCGTGGGAACCTCATTGAAGTATACAAGTATACTCATGGTTTATACAAGGTCCCCGAAGGATTACTAGAATTTGAAACAAGAACCAACACCAGGGGCCACGGCTATAAACTAAAAAAACTGCTCTGCAACTTATCCACGCGACATTTCTTCTCGCTTCGAATCACCGACATGTGGAACAGCCTCCCCAATGACATCGCTGGCGCTCCAAGTATGAACGCGTTCAAGAACAGACTAGATAAAGCTATGGAAAAATATATGTTCAGACTTGAAATGACTAGCACCATATCGAACCCGGTGGAAGTCTAGTAGCTACTTCAAACTATCGTCAGTCATGAAAAGATCCGGTCAAATAACACGATTTTAAATGTGAACAAGGCACGAAAAGGAAAAGAATCGGCGACAGGCCACATCAGGCCTACACTTCAGCGCTGACATCACCATGTTATGTTATGTTAATGTTATGTTAAAAATGTTATTTTATGTATCATTCGCTACATGAGTCATGTTCGAGGGAGTGACTTTCCCTTACATTAAGCATGCTTTTGTTTAAAAATATTGATATTAAAAATATTAACCTGCAAATTCGGCGACAGGCCTACCCAGGCCTATTCTTTAATGCCGAAGATACTATACTATACTAAATTTTGAGCCCCTGTAGTACAATTTTGCACAAAGGCCTAGTTTAAATGCCACATACAGTTAATATCCCCTGGAAATTGTAAATGGATAGGTTTATTCGCTCATGTTTACTTCATTTTCATTTGTTTTAATTTATACATTTTATTTGTTTAATTTATATATTAATATCTTCTATTTGAATTTTAGTTTGCCAAATTCGTGTGCTTGTGTTCTATGTTTTTGAATCAACGATTGAGCTGGACTCCGAAATGTTTTCCTCTCATAAGAAATAGTGACTTTTTGGCAGTTTTCTTTGCTTTTTCACACCGAATATTCGCTAATAATCACACCGACAATCAGAAAATGTAAATTCCAAACAAGTTTGAAATGGTTTCATGTGAAAACTGAGGCATGAAAAATCATTCGGTTTGCTGCATTTGAAGCGTCTTGATAACGGTTTCAAAACTAGCTCAGTGAGCGACACTAAACATTTTATGTATTTTTGTACTAGACCCTCTCTTACTTATATATTTTGTGTTTTGCTTTGGTGATATTTTTGAGCAAATATTCTGTATGTCGGATAATGTTTCACAATTATTTGTTCGATATGCAGGCACACTACCACTCTAGACGGAGCTAGATATATTATGGCTGATGACAAAAGGCACCATTGCTTGATAGTTAATTAAATATTTGTATCGTGCTCCGTAGACTTATCTCATTGTAGAAGAAAACGATTATTTCGTGGGGCAACTTAGCAATTGCAGTGATGAAGCCTGGAAAAATTTCCTAATCAAAATAATTTTTCGACACGCATGAGAGATGAGAAAACAACTTAGTGCTCTAAAGGCACACTTTTTATTTCACATGCTAGAAGAGCATAAAAAAAGTCATTATGGATATTTGGACCAAAGTTTGTTCGTCAGCGTGGAGCAACGCGATTTTTCATGGCGGCTAGAGCAATAACGGAGCCTCGCTTGCATCTCACAAAGACGGAGTGAGACCGGCAAGCAGCGACAGAACTAAATTTTACTCGCTTATAAGAGCTCGCTGGTGCAGAGTTCGGGGTGTAGAAGGTCTCAGACAAATTTACGGCCGGACCCGCGGCCGGAAAGGTTTTCTTAGTGTTTTTATGGGTTTTCTAGTTTTTTTGTGTTTTTAATGGAACCTGTTCCTAACTGGACATAACCTGCGAGGTTTTCGTTGATTGGCTAGGGTTTTCTGTGTTGGAGTTCTGCGGCCGCGAGACCGGCCGCGGGTCCGGCCGTAAATTTGTCCGAGACGTGGCGCAGAGCGCCCGTCAGGATCAGGCATAGCAACCCGCACCCCGTGCCGCGGTCAGGACGAGTTTCGTGGTCGGGCAAGTCAATCATCAATAGGTCTTCTGAAATCAAACTTAAATCGAGAAATAATAAAATTTTTGCTTGAAAAGAAATAAACATAAGCTAATGATGTTCGTGACTCTGTTCAGTACTCAAGAGACCGCGAATTTTCTGTAAGGCCAGAATTAGTTATTCATTTGATCAAGCCTCCTGCATTATGAAGGCGAATACGTCTTGATGTTTCTTCATTCCAGTTAATTTGACAGAACAAGTAATTGATGCTATTTGTCCTCTCGAATTTATAATGTGGCTGTATCTTATAATCAAGTGAGTGGTGAGGAAGTTATCTAAAAGCATGCCACTTCAATTTGAAGTGGCATGCTTTTAAATATATTTGATAATATAATATATTTTTTTCAATTTGAAGTGGCATGCTTTTAAATATAAGATACAGCCATATTATAAATTCGAGAGGACAAATAGCATCAATTAGTTGTTCTGTCAAATTAACTGGAATGAAGTAAAGTCATAATAGAAAATGATAATTCTGTAATGTATTTGCATTTAAAACTGTCAAGAAATTTGAAGTCTTGATTATACTATATTTATAATATACCATATTTTTATTAACTTTTCTGTAAAAGTCAATTTATGTGCGCTTCTTATAATTTTCATTGTCCAAGTTCCTTCATACATTTTTATATCGATTCAGTATGAGTTGGTTAAATATTGCGTTCAATAAAGCTTCGCTACCTGGCCACTTTATTCGAAATAATTTTATTTATATTTATTCGCTATTTGATGTGATATTCAGTGGATATGCACTTACATTTTAGCTCCACTATACAGTACGCTTTTCCTAACAACTTTCATCTTTTAAACTGTGGTAGAAATAATGATGCCTTATGTTAATTATTTAAGACGCATCAGCAAAAGCATATCGAAGTACTCATGGCAGACCAGCAGCGCAGTCTTGCGATAACGCAAACAAAATGCAATCAAAGTCCAATGAGACAGAAGAATGATTTATGCTGATTTTTCTTGTACGTGAATAAAAGGCATGGTGGTCCAGTGGTAGAAATTGACTGCACCAAGACTAGAGTAGTGAGTTGCGGGTTCAATCCCAGCTAGCTTTAGTGATCCAGGTCAAAATCGGCAACATGGCCCTGTCATTTATAACAACAATATTAGATCATGCAGTGAGTTGCGGGTACAAATCCCCCAGCAGGCTGTGAAAAGTTGGTGACCTCTAGAATCGGTGATAACCACGAGTTGTCCTAACCAACACCGACGCCACCTTTACTATAATTTTGACAAAAGCTATCACTGGCATGAGCTTCGTAACGAAAGTATAAAACGTTACAAACCTCGAAAGATATAATTAAGCGTTTCCTGACAAAATTGCTTTGCCCATGCATGAAATATCAATACTCGTATAAAGAGAAGTCAGTCCTAAGAACTGTTGTTGTTGGACCTACAGTAAATCTAATGAAAATCTGCCTGCCCTATAGAAATTTATCTATAATTTTCAGAGAAACTATTTAATCTATGCTGTCAATTTAGAGTGTTTCTATTTCCCGTAATTTTCCCTCTTGACGTAACGTCCACTTGTACTCAAGTTTAGCCCTAACAATTTTCTAAGGATATATCGTTATTCCCAAAAAATTTGTAAATACTCTGATAAGGATATAAATTTAACTGTTACAGTCTATTAATGTTGTAATTTCTCTTGAAATGCATTCGAATTTAGTAATTGGACATGCATCAGTGATCGATGTGCAATCTCTCCTAGACTTGCCATCAGTGATCG